AGAGGCATGTGTTCTGCCAAGATGAACCTGAAAAAGGAAAACGCTCTTAATGTTTTTTTTCCCTCTAACAATGTCGATATTTATTTAAGATCTCTTTTACGTTCTCGTGAAAAAAAGAAAAATTGGGAAATTTATTCTGAACTCGCATGGGAATCATGAAGTATCAATTTTAAAATGTAACTTACGTTTTTGCCTCTTGTCACCAGGTGACTTTCTGAAAAGCAAGAGTTTGTTTGTTTGTAGTTAAGCACAATCTACACAATAAGCTCTCTGTGCCCTGCCCACCACCAGTATCGAAACCCGGTTTCTAGCAGTATAAGTCCGCAAACATGCCGCTGCGCCACTAGGGGGCGAACAGCAAGTGTACGTACTTTTAAAATTAATACAGTTAACGGACTATCATTTCTTATCAATTGGGTATGTTTCTAGCTAGTTTATGGTACCAATCATCTGATAAAGTGCATAAAAATGCACAACGAGTCACTGCGTATATACAGAAAATTGCTTCCGTTAGTTCAATAATTTTTCTTTTAATTTTTCCTTTCTCATAAAGAAAAACTCGGATATACATCAGATTTTATATCTACGTCGTTACTCCACGTGTTTATCAAAGGAAAATTTAGGGGTGCAAAAAAATAACTTAGATAGAACAGGGATTTGAAAAAAATATGAAAATTAAAGAAAATTATGATGTGATGACCAAAAAAAGCTTTATTCAAAAAGTATTTCGTTTAGAGGTTATATTTGATTTCAAATGAAACAATCGTGTTTTTATTTAAGTTACTATCAAGTTTAAGAAGCAAAAGTAAAAAAATACTGAGAAGGTTTAGTATACGTGTGTGTGTATATATATATGTATATATATTGCAAGTCATCTACTTTCTAAAGCGTTAGTTATTGAACTTAATAAAGCTTGTAGCAGGTTTGTCTCTATCGTTACGTACCTTTTTTTGTAACAGGATTGTATTTATTGTAACGTAACTGTATTATAACAGGGTTGTCTATCATTACGTAAATGTTTTGTAACATGGTTGTCTTTATTGTGACGTAACTGTTTTGTAACAGGATTGTCTTGATCGTGACGTAACTGTTTTATAACAGGGTTGTATTTATCGTGAAGTAACTGTTTTATAACAGGGTTGTCTTTATTGTGACGTAACTGTTTTATAACAGGGTTGTATTTATCGTAACGTAACTTTTGCTTCCGCTTTTATCGTGATTAAGAGATAACCATTTTATAACTGACATGTCACGATTAAGACATAACCACTCTGTTACAATTTTTATCATGATTCAAGTATAATAACCGTTTGGTAATTGACTTGTCATAATTGTGACATTACTACTTCATTACAGTTTCCATGGTGATTAAGACATGTAATGACATGATCGTGACATAGCTGGGTTTTTGTGTTTTTTTTTACAGTTTTATCATGACTGAAGTATAACCTTTTGTGACTGACTTGTCATAATTGCGACGTAACTTTTTTGTTGCATGTTTTATCCTTTTTGAGTGATAACCATTTTATAACGGACTTGCCATGATTAGGGCATGACATTTTTGATATAGTTTTTATCATTTTTGAGGTATCACCATTTTGTAAATAACATTAGATTATTTTAAATGTAGTTCGTTTTATTTTTTGTATAATTCAACATAAAGTATTAGAGTCATCAATTTAAGACCCTTGCAAATGTACTCATACTAAAAATATATGTAACTGAATTAATATTTATATTCTAAATAAATAATATATTTCGTATTTTACTTCTGTATTACTTCCCCACAATATATAATCAAATTCCTTGAGTGTTGAGGAGGAGGGGGTAACTCTTCATATTACAATCGTTATTAATATTACATTTGCCAGACCCCAAAAGAAAAAAAAGAGTATAGGCCGAAAATATCTGTAACAACGAGGACACCTAACGGATAAATCAACACATTCTAATGATTGTAAGTTTTGTAATGTAGAAAATTATTTTGTGACATTACGTAAACCTAGTTAGTCCGAAACATAAAACTAGCTAAATTATTTTTCAGCTATTTTTAGCTCTGTATGTAGTTAGCTTGCTTTGAATAAGATGATTGATAATTTCATACAGTATAAATTTTCTTACAAACAAGATTAAATTATGTCAAACAAATATGTTGTGAACAATGATTGTCAGCATATATCCTGGAGTTTAGAATGAATAGAAGAAAAACAAAATCAATTTATCTCTGGTATCTTCTAACTCCCCAGAATTTTGTTGCTTCTTTTATCTAGTCTAAATACATTTCATTTTGATAAACTACTTGAATGTCAATGTTTTATAAAAATAAAGAAAACGGCCATTACTTTCAATGTCCTCTGTCGCCTACTCACCACATGAGACTGAATATCTAAGGGAAAACTTTATTTACGGATTCTATAAAAGAAAAGAAAAAACATACTGTTTTTATTGTTACAGAGCCTCTGAACCTAAATAAGTTAGACAAATACTTAATAATATTGATATTTAAAACTATATAGATATTATAATTCTGTATTCACCGCGATTTGTGAAACAATGCTACATTAGTACTCAAAGTCAAAAGGCGTTTTGTCCAATCCTCTGCCCATTGTTCTATCTCCTTGTGGTGGCAGTTAGAGAAAAATAACAGTTTTTTTTTTAATTCGAAAATTTTCGAAGAGTTCTGAATAGTGTACGTATATTTTTGATTATCTCAGTTTATGTTTAATCGTACTCTGGTGGCAAGTTGTTGAAGTTAATGATAGGTTGCCTTCTGGGAGAGTTTACGTAGTCCCTTGACAAGCTACAAGTGTTTTATATATTTAAGTAATTTCGCTTGTTAACGTATTTATTTGAAAAAATATATA